GCGGTCAGATGTCCAGGGGGCTCACGATGGTGAAGCCGGAGTCCTTGCTGCTGTCGTCGTCCGGGCTGGAGCTGGGGTTGCTGGAGGAGGCGGAGGCGGGTCCCGTCAGCGGGTCCGAGAACACCAGCGGGGAGCAGGTGGGCGGCGGGCCCCGCCCAGACATGCCCCTGAGGGTGCGCAGAGCCTGGGCCCGGCCTGGGAAGGGGCCCCCGGCCTCGCCCCTGTCGTCTTCCTTGGGAACCAGGATGAAGCCCTCTGGGCCGGCTCCATCGCGCCCGGGTGCTTCCGAAGAGGCCTGCGGGCGTGGGAAGCACGGGGAAAGGGCCGTGGGAGCTGGGGCTGTGCGCCCGGCGGCCGGAGCCTGCCTGCGCCTCCCGCTCGAGCGGCAGTAAGGGCTTCTCACTGTCTGACCTAAAGACGCGGACACCCGTGAACACAGCAGAGGTTCTGGGCCAGCAAAGCCACAGTGTGACAGGGACGCTCATCGCCCACCTGGCAGGGAGCACGCCTCGCCTGCGGGGCCACGCCCACGTGGCACCCACAGCTGCCCCAGCCCCGCGCCCATCCCCCACCACCGGTGGGCGGGGCAGGGTCTGGAGTCTAAGGAAAGCGACTCCCAGTCCCCACTGGATGTGTCCCGAGTCCTTGGGCCTCCAGACGGGCTTGGCCCAGGCTGTCTGCAGGCCGTGTCTGGGGCCTGGAGGGGGTGAGATGGGGGGTTTTAAATTTAGCAGATTCATTAGAGTTGTTGAAATGTCTTCTTCTGTAGTAAGCTTGCACTTTCAACTAAAAATATCATGCTAAAGTTTTAAATCAAATTGCTTATTGATCAAATCTAAATAAATAAATGATATTTAAAAAAATAAGCCCTCTGTGCAGGGAAGGAGAACGTAGAGAAACTATTGAGATTAAGCCGGCAATATCGGTGTTGAGCTCGCGGGCTAAAAAGCCGAGTCAAAGTGCTCCGTGAAAATTCCACACAGCCTCACAAGGAAGTTACCCAGAGTCCTCTCTTCCCGAAGTGTGCCCTTAAATCTGAAAACATGCCACACCAGATGTAGTGGCTCGTGCCTGCAATCCCAGCACTTTGGGAGGCCGAGGTGAGAGGACTGCCTGAGCCAACGGGTTCGAGAGCAGTCTGGGCAACATCGCGAGAGCTCATCTTTACAATAAAGCAAAAAATCAGCCAGGTGTGGTGGTGCATGCCTGTAGTTCCAGCTACTTGGAAGGCTAAGGCGGAAGAAGCTAGCTGAAGCTGGAAAATTCTACAATTAGAACAAATGACACACAATGATACCTGAGAGCAGGCATCGGGCAGCCATGGTCACATTCAGCCTGGGCCTGTTTTGGTCTGGCCCTTGGCTGAGGAGGATTTATCAGTTTTTAAAGCCCATTAAAAAAAACAAAAACAAAGAAAAAAAATCAAAGAGCACATGACAGAGATGTCCACATGTGGCCTGCAAATCCTGACACTGCTCTCTGGCCTTGCAGTCTGCTACCCCTGCCGTGGAGGGAGCCGCTGGCACCAAGTCCTGCCCGTGTGGGCAGGAAGTCATCTGGGCTAACAAGCTCCTCACCACAGAAGCCCCACTCGGGGCACCCTGGGACAGCAGGGGCAGGACACCCTGTGCTGGGGGGATCAGAGGCATCGGCTGGCAGCAGCCGACCAGGAAGGAGGCAGAGGTTCTTCCCGACGCCAGGCAAAGGCAGCACAGAGCGTGAGGTCGCGAGGCACAGCCTGGAGACATGGTCTCCTCTCATCACTGTGCACAGCACCCCGGGCACCCCAGTGCGCAGTCTGCATGGCCGAACTTCACACATGCAACTGGAAGTCAGCTGGGTGGGGTTTCCGTCACACATGACCTTGGAGAACTCAGGGGGCAGAGGGGCACGGCCACGGAGCTCCTGTACCTGTGTGGAGGCCACGGCCATCTGGTCACCCTGGCCCTGGCCGCTGGAGCAGTAGTGGTTGTCTGCGATGGTGATCTGCTCGTTCTCTTCAGCCTCCAGCTGGCTCTGGTTGAAACGCAGGGAGCCTTTCAGAATGTCTTTGATCTATTTTCAAAGAAGAAGACAAGACATGAAAAAGACGAGTTTCTTTTCAGATGTAGCTAAATCTCTCATACATCTAAACTAGCTTGTCAGCGACCATTTCTTAATGGCAAGGATGTTAACGTTTTACCATAAAAGTAAACAATGGGCGAAACCCAAGTTCACCAAAGCTGCTGACACCTTGGAGGGTCTGTGGCTGCCTGGCCTGCTGTGGGCGTGGCTGCGCCCGTAGGGTCCATGGTCTGCTGTGGCTGTGGGTGCGAGTGGACCTGAGCTCTCGGGCAGTGACAGGGCCCGGTGCTGGCCCACAGCACACAGTGCTGGGCTGGCACAGAGAGCAGTCTTGGGAGGACGAGGGGCATGGGGACTCGGAGAGCAACCTGGGCTGCAGGTAGTGGGCCGTGACTGGAGAAGGGGTGGGCTCCGGACGCCGAGGGGAGGAGGGGCACGGGACACGGGCCCCACACCACGGTGCTCCATACCCTGGCGCCTCCCCACGGCAGGCATCAAGTGGGATGCCAGTGCATACTGGAAACAGCGTCAGAGTGACGGACATACCTGCTTTAATCCCGCCAGTGAAACCAGAATCTGATCTTCTTTTTCCAAGTTTTCCTGCAGTATCACATCTTGAATATTTACTGAAAATAGAAGAATGGCATTTCACAATGAGTGCTCTGAACCGGACTTCTCTGTGGCCACGCCGTAACTCAGACACGCGTCAGGGTTTTCCCGCCAAATTTCCCAGCGACTGTCCCACCAAGGATGCGCTGCAAAGCACGGCAGGGGCAGCACTGGGCCTGGCCACCAGCCGTCCCTGCAGCCTGGCATGAACGTGCTTGTGGCGACAGTGTGTCCTCGCCTCTCTGCTGGCTGTGGCGTGGCCATCAGCCACGCCTCATCGGTCTAGAGGAAGCCCCCAGCCCTGGGTTATCCACTTGGCATAGCTCAGTGGTGTGGGCGTACTTCTCTCTGAAGCCCTGCCCATCCAGGGGCCTGAATTAGTGGCGGGTGTGCACCAGGAAAACAGGCTGCCATCTCAACGCAGCGTCAGGTGGAGAGGCCGGGAAGCCAAGCACGTGGCATGCAGGCCATTGGAGACAGCCATGCCGGGTCGGCACACCTTGTCCCCTCGTCAAGAAGTCCCTTCTCCAGGGACTGAGGGCCCAATCTGAGGCCCTGCCACGCCGGCTTCCAGTCTCCAGGCTGGGCATTGCCATGTGTGGTGCTTGGCCTCCATGCCTGTGGAAGGCTCGTGCCCATCAAGACCCCTTGGCTCCCGGTGGCGGGATTGCTGGGGGAGCCGAGTGGGTGCGAACACCCACCCCTGGGGACCTGTGGGGTGATGTGAAGGGGCGGGGTGGGGGAGGCCCAATTAAAGACATTTTAAAACACGCTGCTGCGAGTCTGAGCTTCAACAAGCCTGCCC